TTTTGTACGGAGGTCACAATCATCATATGTCATAAGAAACTGCCACTGGAAAAAAACTAGCATTCCACACATAACCCACTATCTGCGTGCCAACTTTTCCGGCCTTTTCTGCTTATTGTTTACTTTTTTTGTCAACAGACACACTGGAGCTCATGAATGTTGAGCACGATGATGGATCAAGCAATCAAATGTAGATAATAAATGAACTTACAGAAATATTACAACCAAACATAGGTGGCTGTATTCGTTGTACAAGTTCACTTATGTTCTACTTTATCTTGCGAAATAGATCATTTAAAACAAGGCAAGTTTCTGAGCTCACCATGCATATTCGTAACCTCAGAGTCAGACCCATTAGAGTTGTTGCATCGCCAAAACATTATGAATTGCACAATATTTACCATTTGCCTGCATGCATCTCATTTAGGTGCAAACAAAATCGATTTATCATTCACTAGTGACAACTTGAGTCTTGTGTTCGTGGCGCAACTCACCCAAATTATGACTAACAATTCTAATTTAATTCCAAAGTGACGACGAGCTTTGTACTCTTGTTGAGTTTTATTAAATTGATTTTAGTCTAAATGGCTTATATTGCCACACTAAACCTTGTATTTGAATCCTCAGTCACGCATTCTCTTAAAGCTGTGGCAGCTCTACGATTTCCGATAACATACAACATGATATCAGCGTGGAGTGGATCGAAAATTCCCGGAGGTGAGCCCTTACGGTACTGAACAAACAACGGACGTATCAACGCACTCTTTAAGCAGTAATGCACTGCACATTTAAAAAATTGCAAGATGCATGTTACCACTCTGTTTGGTGAGTTGTATTGCGATAAACTGATACACTCAGATATTCTAAGGTAAATGAGACAAGGTAAAATGGGATCGACTGTCGAATTTTCGGGGTTTGTTTGAATGGAATCACTGTCTTACACGGTTGGTGTCAGGAACGTCGGTTACCCGAAGACTACCCACAGAATACGCGAAACTTACTGACACCATCAGACTCCACTAAATCCCGACCGGACAGCCTTGGACCGAGGTCGAACAGTGTCTTTCACAATGTAGCGCGAGGGCGTTGTGCTGGCATAAACTCACTTGTTTGCAGTAAAGCTGCAATAAAGCCGGCCAGTATTTCTCCGGCACCAGGTACTGTGAAAAATCAAGTGGAATCGTCCAGCTTCGGGAAAATTTCAGTAGCCACCATAAAACCCGAACGTCCATCATAGAAGTCACTCATAAACCAAAGCTAGGAACAATAAATTCAGTTCCTAGTGGTTCAGCGCACTTATTTTCTCCAACCTGCGTACGAAACCTGGTTGATCTCTCTGACTGAGTAGTGCTAAGATGACTACAGAATACTTATAAACGCAGTCTTTCTTGAATTCACACCACAGTGACATTTTCTAAACTCAGGGTGGGTAATCGTAGGACTGCACTAGCTTCCACAGTCACATTTTTATTCTAAGTTGTCTGTCTCGATTTGATGGCAAATTTGCTACTTCTTCCGTGTAAAACCGGTAGGGTATATTGGATATAATGAACTCCTTGTCGAGATCCGGCCGGCAACAGACTAGCACAAAATAACCTGTCTGGGAAAACCATCTGGCATTCTAATACTTGTTATACGCCCCATTAAAGATACATACTAAAAGAACACAAATAGAGTTCGGTCAGCGAAATGTGATAGAACGATCATCTGCATATTAGATCTGTTACGGACCTCACCTGGTTATCGATATGATAGGGTTACTAAATGCAACAGTAAGCATAATTCTCCAAATGGATTAATTGTTAGAGGTACTACTGAAATGCGCTTCACAGAAGAATGATCATGATTCATTGAGTTTGTGGACAGGCGTTTTTGGTAGCCTGCTGATGGACTGATCGGAATGGCAAAAACGAAGATCAAAACCACTAACCCTCACAATAGTCATTTCCCTATTTCTCTCACCGATACCATGCAACCTTACAGTCTTACACAACAATGCCTTGTTTACTTGGCTCACTATCGCGAAGCAAAGCTCTTGTCTCACAATATCAACTTTTTGATTGGAAAGAGTTATGTGACTTCTGAAAATCTGAGAGACACGCTCTTATTCAGCTTTCTTAGAAGAGGTAATTCATTCGCCCACTGCTCTGATGCACTGCTCACTGCCCACTGCCCAGAATGAAACAAAATAGGTTCATCATTTAACAGTCGTTGGTGTGTGTAGAGAAACATCCCGTAGGTAAGAGGCGACAGCTCACCAAAACATAAATCGTTTACTTGGAACAAAAATTGAACCACCAAGCAGCGGTGTACCCTTGCATATTTTCATAAATAAGAATTTCATGGGTTCGTCATTGCTTTGCGTTATTAGTTGTGCTTTTATTAAGAGAGAATTCGATTATGACGTAGCCACTGAAAAAAAGAAAATCGGAAATTTAATCGTGTCTGTGTTGCGGGAATTTATTTACGGGACTATGGAACCGTCAACTTACAGCAAATGTATTTTCATTTAGCGAACACCGTAACAGTTCATACTTAATTGTATCTGCCCTAACCACAACTAAATGAAGACCGTATTCACTCTTCCTTCTACGTTAATTGTCCGTTTCCGGATGAAATAATGGAAACTGAATGAATTGTTATATGGATGTTTGAAATTCAGATTGCCATCAAATTTCGATTTTGCTGTCCCAGTTTTAGGTTTCGCACAATGATGTTCCAAATGACGGATTACCCTGAAATGTGCGGCTGTGTACAAACTCAGGTGCTTAGAATTGTCTTCTCTAGGACAACTGACCACAAACCTGAAGCTCAGGTTGTCCGTTTGGAGTTGCGATAACGACTGGTTCGTAACAGTCATGTAAGGTGTGCGCGCAAAAGTGATCGAATTATCTCGTCCTACTTATGGGTTTTAACGCAGTTCCTATTATATATAAAACTGAGGTGCAACTAAAAATTGAACGGAAAGAATGGTGAAACCAAATGCACACTGGTGGAGGAGTTGAATCGAAGTTAACTGACTTACTCTGCGTGGAACAGAGTTTAGGTAAGCTACGGAAAGACAATGAACACTAGATCGCCTCTCAAGTATCTTGGTTAATTCGAAGATATATGCTGATCCCTCAAAACAACCTCATGAATTATGCTAACTTAAACCATCGGATAGGATAACCCTTAATCCAAAACGGTATAAAGAGCGTAAAACGCGCAGATGAAAATTTATTTATCAGAAAATTTATCTTTCATACTTGCTTTCCACGTAAGAACCACTACACGAGAAGACTTATTTTTGTAGCTTGAGCAGAAGATATAGCAAATAGTTCATCAAACTGATGAAATGGAATGGTACTTACTAACTCCAGTTATCCCAATTACATGGAAGGAGTTATAGCAACTACAAATAAGATACACAGCGAGTCTCTGTTTTATCAAACAAGAGCTTCAGAATCAAATTATAAGAGATTCTGCGTCTGGGCGATCTACTTTTAACTATTTATTTGTCAGTGCAACGATGTGGTTCGCACTTTAAACGTAGCCTCTGCCTAAGTTTTGATCGTGAAGAGAGCTGGTAAAGTTTCTCCTGTGTTTAAAAATGGACCTGTTTCTTGGACAAAATTGTTAGTAGAAAAACGCTTTTCTGCCTTACGTCCCTCATTTTTGGGATGGTAGGGTGATACTGAGGGATCCCTGTGAGTTTGTTTGGTTCGCATATCAATAAAAGAGTTCTTCTAGATTCAGCAGCGTAATTAAGGCATATGGTTTAGGGCGGAACCATTACCATGGAAAATAAAGGCTCGCTGACCTGGACTTATCGAGAAAGCTGGTAGAGTGAATGCCTTTGCTAAGCAGACAGATATTGAGTAAATTTTTGGGCTAACGTACCTTGGGACTGCCTGCACCTAGAGTTATTTTTTAGGGTGTTACCTAGTCTGTACATTGTAGTGTTGCCGTAAGTGCATCATTGCAACAGAGTTTTTTGCGCTTGCAGTGCTGATGTTTTGATGTTTTGATACTTTGACTGAAGCTAGTGGATAAGGGATGTAACCCGACTATATCGGCAGCCCTGTGCTTGGAGATGAACTGGCAGAGATGCTTTAACCCTAGTAAGCATCAAATCTATAACTACGTCCTATACTTTCTCTTTTTTTGCGACATTACCGCAGCCTTAAGAAGACGTTTCTTTGATATGACACTGCTTCCAGAGTGAATTTAAGCACAAGAAGAGCTGAAAATGCTTTGCTCCATTTTGAAGCTAATCATGGTGACCATTATATAAGGTAAATGCATGTCTAGCTCAACAGATTGGGATTTTGCTACGAACAACCATTTTCATGCGGAAAGTACTTTGATAATGATTTTTCGTTTTGTTTCAACCTACACAGAAGCTTTTGAGTGGCACGCAAACGCACTAGCATATTATATGATTGTCCTAACACAGGGAACGATAAATACTGTTCATCAGGTCCTGTAAATTTTCAATACCTATCAAGACATTATATCTGCAAACCTTGTAAAACTAGTAACAGCCCTCACAAGCTTGCTGAAGACTCGTCGACAGCCCACGACCGGTTTCGCCCTTCTTGGGGCTCATCAGGTAGGCGCAGTCCCCGAGTTTCCGTCAACCTCATGTTCTACTTGAACCTAAATTGGACTGTTTTCGAGAAATACACGCATATGCAAATCAATTTGGTTTTATACTGCGATATCTCGAATATCATGCCAACTGAATCATGAGGTGGCCTGCACGCAGCACATTCAGTTGTAGAATATCATAAACGAGAGATCCAGTTGAGTCTCTCGTGAAAACCAGATTGATTTGCAAATGAGTGTATTTCTGGTCAAATTCCTTTTGGTAATTCACACTCTAGGAAGCCTTTGTACCATTGAATTAAAGGCAACTTTAAAATGTCTTGATATGTTTCTCCTATGTTAAATTTTGTTGCATACGGCTCAAAATACGTTAGGAACCATTGACAACCTCGTGTTGTTCTCTATCCTAGCGCTATTTTGGATCGCGAAAAGCAAGCGGCCTATACTTTCCACGTAACTGTTCGAGATGGACCAGCCAACAATAACAACAGCGTGCAAAGACCTATTTTGCAACTCGGTGGACACTTGTTGCCATCTGCCACCCGGGTGCATGAAGTCATGATCCTGGTAACGGTCACAGTAGAAGACGAAAATGACAACGACCCAATATTCAAGAAACCAAATTCAACTAATCACATGGTATTACTGGATCCCTCTGCCATTCCCGGACAGTCACTACTGCAGGTAAGCAAATGTTTGAGCAGCCGATCATACTAAACCTTGTTTTTTCGGACCCTCATTTGTGTTAATCACTGATAAGTTTTGGAATCAGCAGAAAAGTTTCTCAAGGATTTTTGCAGAGAATTCAAAAGGCACCATTCTCAAGGTATCACATATCAAAACTGCTTTTTGGTAACCGTCACGGCGTGGTTCAGAAAAGAAGACAGTGTGAAACAAATCACGAAGATTCTGTGTAAGATGCGTTCTACGTTCAACATAAATCCCTATGGACAATTGGGTGCACAGGTAATCACATGTCAGCCAGTGCTTCCCAACTCTACCGCAATCAGTGAAACATTGTGGGCTCATGTGTACTACAGATGCGCAGAATCCAGAATGAACTATGCAAAGTAATACGTAGTTAACCAAACAATTATTTGTGAGGAAAGCGTCCGTGAAACCAACCGTCGAACGATTCGAGCATCCAGTTGATAACACCTCCGGATTGCAACGCTTGTAGGGTCATGTTGGTATGACATTTCGGAATTTTGTCAAATGACGTTAAACTACAGAAATGTCTTACTTATTCAGCCCGTTTTATCTCCAAAGAAGATGCGGGGTTCCTTTAGTGTCCCTCGGACCTTTACATCTTTCAGAAAACACAATCTAGATAAAAACCGAATGAATACCCATTTACCCACATACATCCATATTTATACAATTGGTACAAAAATCGTCCATCCTCAAATTCTCATGCTTGTTGCACCAATTAATTTATTCTTAAAAACACTTATGTTGAACGACAATATCTTGTAACTGTTCCAACACAGCTACGCCCCAAAACCAAGTAGGCCTGCAAAGAAATTATATGCTTCCACATAATTTTATGTATTGTAGTATATTTTTGGTTTTCCACTTTGCTTTATTTCACCGGTGGTATTCGGTCAAACGTTGACTTGTTCGCATGAGAACAAAGCCATCTTACGTTGAAGTTGAGTAGCTGTGGAGTTCTTTGCAACTGGACATGCGCGCGAAAAGCGAGCGAGTGAGTGGTTTTGTGCGGGTGGTCAGAGTCTAGAGCTAGAGAGCTAGGAAACACACTTAGTGCCTGGTCACTTAATTGCAGGTTAGTTTATTGTCAACAAATCTCAACAAGTGAGGCCGAGTAAAAAACAAAGGGTGTGCAAAACCTCATTGCTTGTGGGAAAATGGTGTTCTAACAATGCTCCACAGTATTATTTTGGCTAAATCAAACGAAGAAACGTTGAAGTCCTTGATCGATAACTTTAAATGAGTTGCCGGGGCTGGAAATTGAAAGATTAGAAAAGCACACGATGCAAGTAGCTCAAAGGCACTAATTGAGGGATTTGGATGCCTGGTAAACAATTATTATATTGTGTGGACCGCTGGCTGACCGGTGTGCTAAACTTTCGTTTACTGGACATTGTAATTTTAGTTGGTATGCTTTACAGGACCAGAGCAGCCTAAGCGTCCGTACAAAGCGCTTTCAGTGACTTAAGGCTGGATAACTTAGACGTATCGTAAGCACACATTCTTAAAGACTTCGACTCAAGCAGCAGGGCTGACCAACAGGATTGAAAGCACCCACCGTGTCGACTACACGTGTGCCGACGGGACATCTCACTAACCCGGTAACTACGCTGAAGATGCTGCATGCCAAGGTCTAAATAGCATAGCTTAGAGAGGCTCCATGGTTTTTTTACACAAAAAACAACCGTGCGCGCTAACCTAACCCTTGCGCTCCACTGTGACCGCGTCCGAATAACAAGTCAACAACTCATCGTCTGGAGGTAAGCCTTTAAAACGGCTGCCCACATTCTCACGAATCCGGCAACGGGGTTGCTGTGCCCCACCCTATCGAAATCTTATGCTTCTCGATTGCATGACAAGCCTACACGGGATATCACGGCTCTCCGGGACACCGCCGACTTCCGTCCACTGTGCTGCTCAGATGGAGAACAGGACACAAATGACCAGATCGATGCAACTATGACAGGCTCAAAACAGTAACACGGTGGTGGCCTTGGTTTGCAACCCATGCGACACTGGAAATGGATGAAGCTCTTAACCCAGTGTCATCTGGCCACTATATGTTGATTTATCTAGAGGTGGACCGATGAGTACGGCGAGTCATGACGCTCGGGGAAAGAAGTTAGTCTTGATGGGATTGCAAGTTGGTTTGACGCAATCGCCGTCACCATATAGCATATGACGGTCATATACCTCCGGGAGCTTGTGACGCACTGGCAGCATAGAGAAAGCGTGGAAAACGGAAAAACCACACCAGTCCGCCGACAACCTCGCTGTTTACCAAATGGTGTGAGAATTGGACGGAAATTCCGAACAGCACATGAAGAAAGTTATTCGGACCTGAAACACCTTGACGTACGCAATGCAAAAGATAACGTAGACCACCCAATTCGGATTTTTCGTGGTCTAATGGTCCAGCGGTTGAACTGAGATGAATTAATACAACGACAGGTTCTCTACAAGTGGCTTTTGCTTCACAGAGTTGTTTTTTCCCGTTTAACCAGTAAGAGCTTCATCATCTGAAAGGGAATTTTAAGTAGCTCGGTATTGCGCTACCTACAATCCACATCAGGTACAGGCCTTTCGACACTCAGCATAATTCCAAGCTTATGATTTGTACTACAGTCTTAGAGTGGAACAATCGGACAGCGCTTCTGTCTAGATAACGTGAATGGTAAATGCCATCGTTAAGGTGCAGCTCTGTTCGTTGTAGTCTTAACATAAAAGCACCTGCTGCAACATCAATAAGTTCCTCACCCGGTACAGCTTGAGCAAATCAATGAGTCCAACAGAATGGCCCTCCGCCACAGAACGCCCGTAGGGTACGCAAATACCTGAGTGTAACATTCGGGAATACAGCCGTTTGTCTGGTCGGACCTCAGCGTCCTTTGAATTTTTCTTGTGGGGCTGCCTTAGACAGAATGAACCGAGGGGTCTTCAGAATTAACAATGAGATCTAGTGAACGAGTGTAAAAGTGCAAACCAGTCTGCAGTGGAGGATCTGATTATCAGCTGATGTGGATGACGCTATCAGGCAAACAGTATGCCAATCGATTTTTCGAACATTTACTTCTCTGACCCATGAATGGTTCCTGCTTTCTCATACCAGTAACACTCAAAACGTATTTTCTTTTACATCAGTTGATTGATTACAGAAACCTCATTTGAACGTTGGTTAGGATAAACCCATCCCCTACATTCCTCCAGATACATGAAGCAAAAGTTGCACACTTGCGGTCGTTTTGTCGGTTAGTTTCAAATTACTGAGTGACTACAAAAGTCTGCGCACAAACAGGTGTCGGGTTGTGAGTTGATCTTGGAGTAGAATTACAGGGTAAAATCGGCAGCAGAATCTGTCAAAGGAGCATTGGATTATGAATTATATACATGCATGCTGAAGACGTTCCTGAGCCGACATCACGTTTGAGCACAATTTGCCCCTATATAAAGCAAATCGGTTTGCTGACGAAAACAAAGCTATTTTGTCTGAAGATATTTTTGAAATTGACGCTGCTCACATTATTCTTCCCTCGATCAGATCACGGAATGTGTGTCGATCGGTCCTCGCGTCGACAAGTCTGCTTGTAATCACAGGTCTGCATTATGTCTGAGTCAATCTAGCTAATCAACACCTTAGTTGGTGTGCTGTCATAAAAATGTTGTAGCACATGCTACATTCGTACTTTACGGATCATTATCTCTGTACAATTAATCTTGGCTCGTTTATCATATGATATATCTTCAGGTACAGTTAGCTCACACGGTACGTCTCTCAACATATAAACGTGCTTACAGTATCGCTTTGTTTCAAATTCCTTTGTGCTCGTACCACGATCTTAAGTAGATTTCTATTAAAAGCTTCCCTACTTTTCTTCAGGTTCTTGGAGGCAGAATACTAACATACAATAAAACAATAGGTCATCCAAACTCAAGGTATAACTTTAGGTACTAGAGTGTTCTAATAGAATGAAACCTTTTTGGTAAAAGAACAGAATTTGGTGTACAGAAGAAAATGCGTAGCGTAGGCTAGCACAACAACGGTTTCAGGCAATAAAAAGAGGGACATGAATGATTCGGCGTATGTAGTTCGAAGTTACCCTTGGAGTCGCGGTTTTCAATTTCCTCCTTCATTCCTTTCATCTTCCGATCTAGCTCGAGTTTTCCGTTTGTATGACACCTCCGAGTGCAGTATTTTGATTTTGAATCCCGTTAAATTTGGTAACAATGTACAACAGTAGTTTATTTGCAACTGCCCGTGTCCCTGAGCGCATGTCCATCCCCAAACCACGACGCAGCCAGCGAAGTGATCAGTCACGCTGATAGGGCTTGTGTTCATTCATTTACGATGTCCGTCACCCTACTCGCTTTCACCAACATATCTGGTAGCTTTTGTACAAAGCCGGGTAAACACCTGTTTTGTATTTAAAAGCGAACATCAATATATTTGGAGGTTGTTCAAGGTGACGCTATTATTTACTTCCAAAATATAAAGTGATGCCAGCAGCATGCCATCATAGTCACGTAGGAATACATCTAATTTTGAAACATCCACGTCCAAAGATGCAAGTATGTATCACAAAACTAATGCTTCTTGGGTAAGTCTATCCATCAACATCAAAGTATCGTATGTAAGCTAAGTTAATGTGGGAAAAAGATTCATCATTCAGTGCACTCCCGTTGATACAGTTACAGGCTGTTGACCCGGATGAAGGCATCAATGGCTTGGTCACCTATGCTATTCGTGGGGGGAATGCTGGAAATCTATTCAATGTTGATCCACGAACTGGACTCTTGTATCTTGAGAACCAACTTCCTAGGAGGGCCGTCGCTGAAGCAACAGCTGCTTCATCTGCAAGTGCGTCTCAAAAACTGAGGGAACAATCGGCCAGTGAGAGTGATCCATCTGCGCAGTCACGAAATAGTCACGTTCCAACACACCCAACGTATCTTCTGGCGCTTGAAGCATGCGATCAGGGCGAACCAAGAAGATGCTCACATTTTCCAAACCTACAAATACAAGTAAGACAAAATAATCCTATTTTACAAATGTTGGAGTACTCTTAAAGTCTGCTTGCTTGTTACTTTTCAAATACTGAAGAGAATTTTAGGTGCAGCCAAACGATGATCCAATCACGTCTCGCGATAAAACGTTTGGGCGAAATAAACTTCTAGCTCAGTTCATTTTAGCTTATTTTCCAGATGCACACAGACAGCGCACTCCCAATAAAATCTTTATTTGATTCCCAGAGAGGAAGGGATTAGATTACCTGGCATATAATAACGAAGCGTGTGAATGACAATCCTGAGTACAGCAAAACAGGTGCTCAACTTTATTACTTTCAACTGTTTGGCTAAAAGTACTTCTAGAGCTTGGTAAAGTTTTCTTTCACCATTAGTAAACCACTCGTTTAAAGGTTTTCATACAACAAAGGATTGTTGCCAGAAGTAACGGAAAATAAGTTACACTGTCATTAATTATTATTGCACCAATCCTATCTGGGAAAAACACACTGAAAATCGCATGTGACTCATTTCGAGGTCGTTTTTTCAACCCGTGAATGCGACTTCAGTCTCAATAGACCATCGTACCTGGAACATAAGGAACATAATACGCTTTCAGATACTTATGGAGTAAGAGATAAACTACAACGATTTGACTAGCATCCAGGGCAACAGCAGAGCTGCGATTATGTCATCTGAGATGCCGCAACCATATCCCCCAAAGAAATATGCGAACAGTTATGACAAACTTTTCATGCAAACTTCTGAATATTTTGCAGAGTTTCGCCTAGCCTAATTCCGAGCTCTTAGAATGTTAGCCTTCCAACCCAGTTTTGTTTTTAAGTGAGTGTATATTTCAACTTTCGTACAATTTGTATCCGGATAGTCTTTGCGATTTACAGCTACTTGGGGACTGCGCCTACATTATGCAACCCAACAAAGGACAAACCATTCGTGAACTGTCGAAGAGCTTGCAGTAACCTTATGAATAGTCTTCCTCTAAAAAAATAGGCGCAATATCATGAACGTCGCAACACCTAAGACATGAAACGGTCTTTGTGCACCGCATTTAGTTGAAGCGTATCATAAATGGAAAATTCTGCTGGAATTAACCTGAATCTTTCCCTTCAAAACCCGATGGAAGTGCGAATAATTGCTTTTTTTCATAATCCCATTCTGTTCATTAATTCATATAAGTATAATTTTCTCTATCGAATTGCCTCACTCATTTATGATTTGCTTCGTAAAGCTTCGAGTTCCAAACGATCTCGGTATGTCGCAGACAGATGGACAACTTCTACTATCACATGCAGCCGCCTCAAATCAACTCCTAATGGGTCATTCTTCGGCAGACAGTGATTCATTTCTCAATGCCAGATTTGAGAGGGAGAAGAGAATGGGAAGCCTGTCAACAGCAGAAATCGTCATCATTACTCTTTCAGCGTTCTTCTCCATGCTTATCATTGCGGTTGTCGTAACTATCTGCATAATTCGACACCGGACCCACAGAGTTATGACCAATCAAAAAGTGAAAGGTAGGATAATTTGTTCTCAAATCAGATATTTCAATGTCCTCCACTGTTTTACGCTTAATTGACTATCGTCGAAATATTGTTGTTGCAACTGCGACAAGCTGAGTATTGATAAACCCTTTGAAAGTTGAGGCTCTGGTAAAATCGAATTGCGTGTGCTGGGATAAGTAGCCATGGCCGGTATTCTTTATTCCAGTAAGTAAAATGTGGTGCTCAGTTGATAAATGGGGAACAAAGAAGTTTATTGGTGTTTTATCAAAAGGCAGAAAGTCAACGTCCACTCAGTTAAACGGTAGAAAAGACAGTGCATTTGAAGCACAGTTAACTCTTCAAAATATCCATCAAAAAACGGGAAAAGGATAGTCAGAGAAAAATCGCGCTTTTTATTAACCTAAAAGTACTTGTAGGGTTGTCGAAAACTTCTACACACCGATACCTGTTTCGCCCTTCTGCGGCCTCATCAGATAATCCCTGAGTTTCCACCATCCTTAAGGTAACATGCATAAGAGTGTATTTCGCCACATGTGTAAGCGTGATTTAGTTTTAATAGAAACCGGAGAATACAACTATATGATCAGCCCAAGGAAAACTGGAACTAAAATCTGGCAATTGAATGACTGAGTCAAGAAAAATAATTCGATTTTTCGGATATTCTTCGGAATTTAAACACGAGATATCCTTTGTGTTGAACACTATCGTAAACGGCAGATTTAGCAGGGATTCAGCTAACTATTTTGTTAACATCATCTGAATTCACGCTTTGTTTCAGCCGGATGTTCCCTCAGTAAACAACCATCCACTCACACAAACTTCCATGTTACCGGTAAACGAAACTGTATTTGATGAATCCACGTTCAAACGTGTGCATGGTCTCCACCTGATAACTTAATGTGGACTTTAACGCTAACCAGGACGTGGCCTTGTGTTTAAATAGATCGCATTTTTTTCAAGCAGTGAGATGTAAAATACACTCCAGTTGAAACAGAAGGCGGAAATAACTGAGTTCATGGAACTATTGCGTTTGCTAAACCAAATATAATCGTTGCTCGGTCACTGTCCGCAATGATTTGATTCATCAAACGACAATTTTGTGGATTGAATCTGGGAAACTTTATGATCAAAATAGGATACCTTGTCACTTCCAACGGTGAAACGTCACCTATTAACTCTGGTAGTTTGAGTGTGATTCCTAGTACCACATTCAGCATTCGTTCCAGTAATTTGACAATTTTTTCTACCGCTCGTTTAATCAGCCTAACTAAATTTGAATACTTGAAAGAATCACAGCCAATTTGCATTGTAAACCTCCAGGCTTCCCGATGATGATTTCATTTCACGCACTAGTTTATGGCTGAATCTTTCAAAAAGTGCAAAATCAATGGAACTTAAAATTAAAGCCGTCATCTTAACTTTGAATGCCTTGGTGTGACCCGGTCACCAAACCATCGTAACACCAGAGTCAAATTCAGATTTCTTAGGACGTATTGCACTTGCTTCGACTGACATATCAGTTTTCATCCGCCCGATTACATCTCGTAGTGATCTAGAAGGATGAGCCAATGTGAACATTGGGCCTGGAGGCAAATAAACGATCCGTGACTGACGAACCGAAGATCTTATCTACTTAGAGGACCATAGTGTCCGCACGGACACACTGATTTGCGCAAATTTTCCCTCTTGATCCTCCCAAGCCCTCTGTCCCTTTTCGATCTCACCACAACTGCAGGTGAACAGGGGAGCAGAATGGTTTGTGGATAGCACTGACTTTAGAGTCTTGATTGGCGGTAGTGGGGTCACCGTTATGTGTGATTTCAGCTGCAAGGACATGGCGCAATATGTCTACCTTAGATCCACATCTGTTGCCGTCTTCAGTAGAACTAACATGCTATTTTTAGCGCAAAGAGAGTCAAAGAAATCGGATTTCTCTGGTCGATTATCTGTGATGGCAGCTTGTCTTTGCCTTCAAATGGCTTTCAGATAACCGGGTAATCATTCCGCGGCATTAGACTTTTGAACAGTTCTACCTCTTTATCCAGTTTAGGAGATGTGCAGATTAGTTTGGCTCTGCGAAATACAGTATGAGGAAGTGAACGCTTGCATGCACCGTCCCATCTAGTTAGGTTTACGGCACACAGAACCAAAAATCGAACGTATGAGGTTTTCTGGATTGTAACGTTAAAAGTGAAAATTTGGTTGTCACAATGCAAATCATGACTAATGTTTTGATTTAGTTTATTGAAAAAATTTCCTCTGTCTCTCTTCACTCTTTGGCAATGTCTAAATACCTTCGAAGTGTCTTCTGTAGGGGGACTGCTTGGACTTCACTTTCTGTATCTTGATCTTGTTTGACCATAATCAATTCTGCCAAAATTTGTTCCAAAAGAATTCTCCATTTGTGTACCAAAGTGCTTACAGCTGGCAACTTGAAAATAAAATCTGACATTCTGATACCTAATAGAATAAGACCCCTCAAGATTCATCTGGGTATGGCCAAAAGATATGGATGACCCTATCGTTTCGGCGAACGATAAGCTGGAAAACCCACAGGTTCAATATCTTAAACACAGGCAGTCAACCGGTCAGATCACAAAACCTCTTGCCTCTTTACAGAGACGTTCTTCATCGGAAAACGGCCAACTGTCTGCTGGCAAAATTATTCCATGTATCTCGTCACTTAATAATACAACTGATTTGGCTCCAAAATCAAAGGATATTTTTGTCTCGTCCAACAACGCTACTGTAGAACCCATTGAAAAGTATGCGTACGTGGGGCACTTGTAGATAAATCTCCATAAAACGTACACAAAAAAATGCGGATTATAATTACACCTTCCTCATCCGACAAGGTGTTGTATATTCATTGTGCGGCAAAATTTAGTTCATCGCTGAAGAGTAATAGAATGAAAATGACCTGGTTTTTATGTATTCATCACAACATAAATCGAATCCAGTTGGTGAGTAGCAGACGGTAATTAGTTTCCGAAGTTCGCCGCAGTATGTCATTTGGCTAATTTTGAGGACTGTGATTCGGGATAGGATTCAGCTCTTTTCGAATTAACCACATTTTCTACGAGAGAAGAATCATTTGAGATATGTTTGGTCAACCAATTCTGAATGACTCATCTGGTCCGGATGCCCGCAATCTTCATTTCCGGCCATTAGGAACGCATGCTTCACTGAGCTTGATAAGCTCTTTGACTGAAGCAAGGCACGAAATGTCGGATATAATACTTTTCATTCGACATAGCCAGTCATCCTAGCCGCGTGGCATTTTGAAATTTATTATTCATCACCTGCCAGGAAAATGATTGCTGCATCCTTACGTTTTTGAAGTGGTCCGGAGCAGAAACAGGATACTTTGTTAATTGGATAGCAGGTGACTGGGAAATCTGTCAATCAGAACACGCAAGTTGATTCCCTCTTTTCCTCCGCGAACAAACGAGTCAATGAAATTTGACAGTGAACAGTATTTCCGGGTACCTGTATGAGCTGTCTCTTAAGCAGTCCTTATTGCAGAGAGGAAGAAACTTATACTGAAGCAAGATTTACTGCTGAAGTGGTGTGCTATTTCGGTGCAATGTAGTCTCAGTCTAACAAGGTAAGAAACATTTCTACTTAAGTTTTGCGGCAGACTTGCTCAGTAACCAATTTGAGTCCTAGCAGACCAATCTAATCTCGGAAGAAACAATCCCTCGATAAGGGAATTTGCCCATTGGATGGCGCCCAGTAAAAAAAACGTTAAGCATACTTTTCGACCAGAGTAATGGGGTTTTATAGGTACGGTTACAGTTTTAAAAGTTTCAGTGAAGATGTAGTAAACTTGTCTAGCTCACCGTCGGTGCATTTGATGATCATCCATATCCGTCATTGATCCATACTAGTTCACGCGTGTATAACCATCATCTGGACCAGGAAACGCCGCTCTTTTTTGCGTCTCTTCAAAACAGGGCAAGGACCAGTAAGTACGATAAAATATCAAGGCAACATAATTTTGTGTTAACAGAAGCAATGAAAACCGTTGGAAACCATAAAGCAATCTTTTGGTGCCACTTGATCTTTGTTCAAAATTTCAACTGTAGGATATTCCACCGAATTTTTCTGTGCTTATCTAAGTTTACAGTATCAACTAAATCAGGTCAGCTCAACTCATGAAAATTACCAGCATGATGAATTTGTGCAGAAGCTGTGAGTATGACGTGAACACACAGACGTGACTTACAACTAATAAAACTCATTTAGTTTCACAGGCACTTGGGATCTTCCTTCTTCCGTTTGAGGAACAAAAATTATTTCACTTGGTTCCCAATATTTGTAGTTGAAAGATTTCATAACTCCAGACAGCTGGGAATGACATTTGTTTATGATTGAGAGACTACTCAGTTCAAATGTATTTGCACTTTTGAACAGTTTTCGCCGAAAATCACTAGACTTACTTCCGTTCGCCACATGAATTAGTCAATTTTAAGGTGAAACCGTCTCACTTAAGTACATTTCACCCCTTTTTTAACAGCATAACGCGTTCTAATTGAATCTTTAGTAAAATGAGATAAGCACCATATTAATTAATGCCATACGAAAATACGATGATTAGTTGCGTCACTCATTTCATAGAAGTCCGCCTGTACTTTTAACCGCACAAGAAACGGATAATTGGCACATGTCTACATGTTTATACTCACGAAGCACCCAAACTGAGTTACTGACTTCACTAACGAAACGAATTTTTTCTGTTGTAAAAATGAACCACGTGAGTTAGTCCATTCCAATAAAGGTGAGAGTGCACTTCATTATGACTTCTCATCCTCATAGTGAGATATTAGTTCTGCATTGTTAGCTTGGTGACTTGATGAATATTTAATCAAGACTAATCATATGATGTTCTCCAATTCCCAAAGCTCTTTTTTCAAACGAGAAACAGAGCTGCAAATTCTTGTACGTTTTCGTCAAACTAACAGGTTTCTTGTTCCTAAAAATACATTGGTGTCTGTGACCATTTCGTCAAA